GCTGGAAGATAAGTTAGGTAGAACTCTTGAAGACAATGGCATAGGAAAAGACTTTATGAACAAATCCTCAGTAGCATGGGAACTAGAACAAAGAATCCACAACTGGGATCTCATCCTGTTAAAAAGCCTCTGCACTGCAAGAGAAACCATCAACAGAGCTATGAGACAACATATAACGTGTGAAAAAAAATTTGCTAGCTGTTCCTCAGACAAAAGTCTACTATCTAGAATATATAAAGAATGCAAAAAATCAGAACCCCAAATATAAAAACCAAATTCAAAAATGGGCATGTGAAATGAACAGACACTGCTTAGATGAACAAGTAAAAGCAGCAAGTAAATATATGAAAAGATGTTCATCATCAATTCTGGTGGGGCTGTGGGGAGAAAGGAACCCTTCTCCACTGTTGGTGGGAGTGCAGACTGGTGCAACCACTGCGGAAATAAATATAGAGATACCTTAAACAACTAGGATTAGAAGTCCCATTTGACCCAGCTAATCCCCTACTGGGTATCTTCCCAAAAGAATTAAAAGGATCATACCACAGTAACATATGCTCACCCATGTTTATAGCAGCACAGTTTGTAATAGCTAAAATTTGGAAACAGACCAATTGCCCATCAACTAGAGACTGGATAAAAAAGATGTGCTTTTTTTATATATATAGAATGGAGTACTGCTCATCCATAAAGAATGAGAAACTAGAGACATTTATAACTAGGTAGATGCACATGGAGGCCACACTCTTTAAGTGAAATTGATAGGACACACATGTGTAAATACCAAATAGTTTCTCTGGTATGAAAAACTAAGTGTGAACAAGAATCCAAATGTATAATTGATATTTTGTAATAGGAAGAAAAGGTCTAAAGGAGTAGAGAACTGGGAGGGGTAGGGGAAAGGTAAGAAGGGAAAATAAAAGTATGAGAAAAGCAAAAAATGGAAACAAAGACTTCATAAATGGGGAGGGGGTGAAGGGAGGGCAGGGACAAGGGGAAAAAATTAGAACCAAGACCTGTCATGTAAAGGTACAAGATCCCAATGATGAATGTAACTGCATTGTATGCCTAAAATGTACCAATAAGCTTAATGGGAAAAAAAGAAAGTGGTTATAATGACTAACCATGAATGTTATTCTCGACAAAGTGAGTAATGAAGAACAAAGAGGTGAAGTGAAATAGACAGTAAATGGATTTCAGTTTTTCATGAGCAAAAAGTTTATTGAAACTGAAGTTCTAGAGGAAGAATATTGGAAATACGTAACTTCAAGGGGCTGGGGATTTAGCTCAGTGGTTCAGTGGCCTGCCTCTGCAAGGACCCGAGTTTGATCCCCAGTACCAAAAAAAAAAAAAAAAAAAAAAAAAAAAAAAAAAAAAAAAAAAAAAAAAAAAATGGAAATACATAACTTCAGGGTTACAATAAAAATGCTTAGAATTGAGTTTTAGTATGGGTTGCAATCAATCAAGAAAAAATCAAGAGAGAGGCTAGATGAAGTTGGGTTATTGGAAAGATCGTGTGCATAGATGTTGATAGCAACAAGTTTTAAAGCAGAAGTGAAGCAAGGAAATGTGACAGTGAGCAGGAGCCACAGTCTTTCCTGAATGAGACGAAGTGACCTGGTGCAGCAAATGGCCACAAGTGAGGGGTGGTGGGTGATGACGTAAGACTCAGAGTTAGATGGTTTTATAGAAGGGAGAAGAAAAATTGACTGTAAATAGCAAAAAAACAATATAT